CCCCCAAGACCTTCCCCTGGAGCCCCCCAGGACACCCCCCAGCCCCCCCCAGTCTGAGCGGGTACCTGTGCAGGGTGAACGACAGCATCCTGTTCGTCAACGAGGCGGATGTGCGGGAGGTGACACACAGCGCGGCCGTGGAGGCGCTGAAGGAGGCCGGCGCCGTCGTCCGCCTCTACGTCATGCGCCGCAAGGCCCTGGCCGAGAAGGTGGTGGAGGTCAAGCTCATCAAGGGGCCCAAAGGTACAGGGGAACACCCCCCCAGGACCAGCACCGGGACCCCCAAACCCAAGGAGCCCCATGGGACCCCCTCAGGGACCTCCGAACCTGGGGACCCCCAGGGACCCCTCCCAGGGACCTCTGTGGACTGGCCCTGGGACCACCAAACCCTCATGGGAGTCCCATGGGATCCCCCCAAGGACCCCAAAACCTGAGGACCCCCTGATACCCCCACAGACCAACACTGGGACCCCCAAACCTGGGGAGCCTCACTGACTGGGATGCCCCCAAGGACCCCCAGGCCAAGACTGGCACCCACAGGACGTCTGTGGGGACCCTCCACCCTCGGGGACCCCCAGGACCCCCAACTGTGGGGCTGCCCTGACCTCTGCCTCCCCCCTCTCCCCCAAACCTTGGGGACCCCAAAGCTGGGGACACCCAGGGCTTCCCCAGCTGGTGGGGCAGGGTGGGGGGGTGACACAGTGTGGGGGTCCCTGCCCTGACCCCCCCCCCCGGCCCCCACCCAGGGCTGGGGTTCAGCATCGCGGGGGGCGTGGGGAACCAGCACATCCCGGGGGACAACAGCATCTACGTCACCAAAGTCATCGAGGGCGGCGCCGCGCATAAGGACGGGCGGCTGCAGATCGGGGACAAGATCCTGGCCGTGAGTGGGGATGGGGACGCGATGGGGATGGGGATGGGGACGCAATGGGGACACCCTGGGTATAGGATGGGGACACAATGGGGCTGGGGACACCCTGCGGATGGGGACAGGGACATGATGGGGATACCCTGGGGACAGAGACACCATGGGGATAGGATGGGGACACGATGGGGATGGGTGGCTGCAGACTGGGAGCAAGATCCTGGCCGTGAGCAGGGACAGGGACGCTGTGAGGATGGGGACATGACAGGGACAGGATGGGGGCGGATGGCTGCAGATGGGGGACAAGGACAGGGATTGGGACGTGTTGGGGCTGGGAACACCCTGGGGACAGGGATGGGATGAGGACATGTTGGGGACATGATGGGGACAGGCAGCTGCAAACTGGGGACAAGGTGCTGGCCGTGAGTGACGGACGGGGCAGGGACATGGTGGGGACTGGGACGGGGCGGGACGCAGCTGTGTCCCTCCGTCCCCGTCCCCCCCGACATCCCCGCATCCCCGCAGGTGAACAACGTCAGCCTGGAGGACGTGATGCACGAGGATGCGGTGGCGGCGCTGAAGAACACCTACGACGTCGTCTACCTGCGGGTGGCTAAGCCGGCCGCCACCTTCCTTGGGGACGCCTTCGCCCCCCCTGACGTCACCAGCTGTGAGGGGGGGGACACGGCGGGGGGCTGGGGAGGGACACACACACGGGAGGGGGACACCAGATGCACTGTCCCCTCTCCCCAGGGTGGTGGGACCCCCCCCCCATCCCCATCCCTGCTGTCCCCATCCCGTCTGTCCCTGCTCTCCCTGTCCCTGCTGCCCCTCCTGACCCTGCTGTCCCCGCTGTCCCCAGCCTACTCAGCGCACCTGGATGCAGACCTCGGTCCCCAAAGCTACCTGGGCCCTGAGTTCCCCCCGGCCATGACCCCCACGTCCCCCCGGCGCTACTCCCCCGGCCCCAAGGACCTGCTGGCTGAGGACGACGTCCCCAGGTACCGTCCCCGATGTCCCCGTGTCCCCTGGGCTTTTTCCCCACAGCCCTGGGGTGTCCCTGCATCCTTGGGATGTCCCCAAAGCCTGTCCCGGGGGTGTCCCACCATCCCTGGGGTGTCCTCGTGTCCCTGGGCTCTCCCCATGGTCCCCAAGGGCATGTCCCTGCAGCATCCCCATGTCCCCGGGCCGTCCCTGTATCCCCAGGAGAATGTCCTGGGGCTGTCCTCACATCCCTGGGGTGTCCCCGCATCCTTGGGATGTCTCCAAGGCGCATCCCACCATCCCTGGGGGGTCCCTGGGCTGTCCCCAAGGGCACATCCCCGGGGGTGTCCCTGTGTCCCCTGGACCATCCCCAAGACGTGTCCCTGGGGTGTCCCCCCCATCCCCGGGGGTGTCCCCATGTCCCTGGGCTGTCCCTGAAGGCACGTCCCAGGACCGTCCCCACGTCCCGGGTGTCCCTGCATCCCTGGGGTGTCCTGTCGCCCCGGGGCTGTCCCCACCTCGATGTCCCTCATCCCCAGGGAGCCGCGGCGCATCATGATCCACCGGGGCTCGACGGGGCTGGGCTTCAACATCGTTGGGGGGGAGGATGGCGAGGGCATCTTCATCTCCTTCATCCTCGCCGGGGGCCCGGCCGACCTCAGCGGGGAGCTGCGCAAGGGCGACCAGATCCTCTCTGTGAGTGACGTGGGGACGCGGCTGTCCCCAGTCCCGTCTCCGTCCCGGTCATCGTCCCCACAGCCGCGTGTCCCCATTGTCAGCCCTGCAGCTGTCCCCATCTTCCTCCCTGCGGTGATGTGTCTCCATCCCTGTCGTCATCCCCATGGCGAAATGTCCCCATCGCCATCCCCATGGTGCAATGTCCCCGTCGCCGTCCCCACGGTGAAATGTCCCTGTAGGGACGTATCCCCAAAGCTGTCCCCATCCCTCTAACCGCGGCGATGTGTCCCCATCCCCTTCGTCACCCTTAAGGTGGTGTGTCCCCATCATCGGCCCCACAGCGACACGCACCCCCCCCCAATCACCGTCCCCCTCCCCGTGGTGATATGTCCCTGTCCCACAGGTGAACGGCGTGGACCTGCGCAGTGCCACGCACGAGCAGGCGGCAGTGGCGCTGAAGAATGCCGGCCAGACCGTCACCATCATCGCCCAGTACAAGCCCGAGGGTGAGCGGGGAGGGGGTCCCTGGGGGGGGGGCAGTCCCTGGGTGTCCCTGAGGGTCCCCTGACTCCTCCCGTTGTCCCCGCAGAGTACAGCCGCTTCGAGGCCAAGATCCACGACCTGCGGGAGCAGCTGCTAAGCAGCAGCCTGGGCTCGGGCAGCGCGTCCCTGCGCAGTGACCCCAAGCGCGGCTTCTACGTCCGGTCAGCGGGGACAGGGGACGTCGTGGGGGGCACTGGGGGACGACGACGACAAGGTGACATGGGGATGGGGAGGTGTCCCCTGACAGCCACGTCTCCCGGCAGGGCGCTGTTCGACTACGACAAGGCCAAGGACTGCGGGTTCCTCAGCCAGGCACTCAGCTTCCGATTCGGGGATGTCCTCCACGTCCTGGACGCCTCCGACGAGGAGTGGTGGCAGGCACGGCACGTCCTGCCCCCCGGGCAGCCCCCTGACATCGGCTTCGTCCCCAGCAAGCGGCGGTGCGGCTGGGATGGGGACTGGGAGGCAGTAGAGTGGGACTGGGGGGCACTGGGAGGCAGCAGGGAGGGACTTGGGGGGCACTGGGAGGTAGTAGTGTGACTGGGAGGCAGTAGGAAGGGACTGGGGGCACTGGGAGGTAGTAGAGTGTGACTGGGAGGCAGTAGGAAGGGACTGGCAGGCACTGGGGGAGACTGAGAAATAGTAGGAGGGGAGTGGGGGGCACTGGGAGGCAATAAGGGGACACTGTGGGGAACTGAAGGGGGCAGGAGCCCGCCCCCCCCCCCATCATCTTTGTGCCCAGCAAGACCAGTGTATGTTGGGGGGGGCACTGGGAGCACTGGGAGACCAGTCTGGGCTCTCTCTGGCGCAGGGTGGAGCGGCGGGAGTGGACGCGGCTAAAGGCGAAGGTGAGCCCTGTCGTCCCCCCCCCCAACCGGGGTCCCCCT